GTTATTAATGGTGAAGTACTTGGTTAAGTGCATCAACAAGGATAGAGATTATGTTGAAAAATATTTGTTGTGTAAAATAAATGCTTTCTTCATCATTAAACTAAAACTTACTGATGTACCAGCATATATAATTAATGGAGAAGCACTGGGTTAAGTGCACTGCCAAGAAAAGATGATGTTGAAAATTTAATATCTATTTTGTAAAATAAATGCTTTTTCACTATTAAACTTTAGACTTACTGATATATATATATTATGTGATTAATAGAAAAGCACTTGGTTAAGTGCATTGAAAAGGAAGGAGATTATATTAAAAATTAAATCATTTTGTGTTAACTAAATGCTTTTTTTATTATTAGACTAGAGAGTTATTGATTTACCAACATATGTGATTAATAGAGAGGTATTGGGTTAAATGCATTGACAAGTAAGGAAATTATGTTGAAAAGTATTTGTTTTGTAAAATAAATCCTTTTTTCATCATTAGGCTACAGACATTGATGTACCTACATATGTGATTAATAGAGAAGTATTGGGTTAAGTGCATTGACAAGGAAAGAGATTATGTTGAAAAATATTTGTTGTATAAAATAAATGCTTTTTTCATTATTAGGCTACACCTTCAAGAAAGAAGAAATGTTTACTCGAAAATATTTGTCAGTGGAATAGGGTGTAGGGAGAGACGAGTTCATGCCTTTTCTAAGAGTATTAGTTTTAGAACATGAGGTGCCTTGCTACTATTATGCTCATTTCACATATATTTTTAAAATAACAAAATAATAATTAGCATTTATTAAGAGCAACAATGAACAGTAAATTGTGGAGAGCTATGATCAACAACGCCCTGAACGAACATGGCACATACAAAAAGGTCTTCATAAAATCAACTCTCCTACATTTCCACATAAATCAGTCAAGTTGTTTAACAATGATATCACCAATCATGACCACAACTATTATGTAAATTAGTTGCCAGTACCACCTACCTAGACAAACACCAAACAGGCTATTTAAAAATGGGTAACTCACACTCAAAAGATATGAATATATATCAGCATCATCTCTCATAGGAATTGTCTGAGTATGAACAAGAAATGATAGTGGGTATTAGACAATTTGTGAAATTGTGGAGACATTTAACATTTAATCTATGGTTTCATATGATTACAAGAAAAGGATTACTACCCACTGTGGATAGTGCAGTCGCTAAACACAGGCCCTTAATGATTGAAATCAGAGACATCTAGTTAGAATTGCTAAAGGGAATTAACTGATACTGAGATATCCAAAAAAGGTATGGTATGTGGAATTAGAGCAATCTACCCCCGTAGACTAAATAAAGGGTTTGATTTGAAATCCCAAAGTATATCACCTGAAGAATATCAGAGCATAGAATGGCATTTGAATTCAGGATGATTGTTGGGCCCACAAAAATAGTGGGCTCTACAAGGTGGGCATTGCTGTAGGTTTTTCTTGGCAAAAAAACAAGCAATATGTCAATTCTAGATAAACATTAATGGCGCATAAAAAATGTGGATTCCCACATGTAAGGCAAGAATTGGATTACTTGCCACTGGAAACAATAGTAACTACCTGATCAAGAGGAACATTGCCTGAAATCATGTCCCAATTCAATACTGGTGCCACCAACTCATAAGCCAATGTCCTGTAATGCATACACTGCATTCTCTGGGGTTTCGTAGCCATCAAACAGGATATTATTACTGATGCCACAGCACTTGTCACTGTGCTTCAGTTAGGTTAGAAAATATTATCATAGAATTGTAGAAGACTTGTTCTGTGTTGCTTGATCAGATGAATCAGATTTGCAGTTCTTTTAGGTTGAGCTTGTGTGGAGGAGACCACATAAGGTGATAATGCCAACATGTCACCAGCCTGTTGGATAAATTGGTGGTATTGCCATCTGTACCCCTTAGACTACCTATATTTCCTCATAGGGATAAGTTCCAATAGATAATGTATATCCTCCCCCCAATCATATACAGATGTTATTAAATTGATTTCAAGAATACCTGGCTATTGGACTTTGTACTCACCAGATTTAAATCCCTTTGAACATATATTGGACATGTTGCACAACATAATAAAGTCACTGTAGCTACATCCAATAAATCTAATTCAATTATAGACAACTCTGGCATGTACCTAGATAGATATACCCAAACAATAACAATTTCAGAAGCTGTAGCAAAGAATACAGTATTTTATCTCACTAACACGTCATGTTTCTAACACACTTTCATTGAGAGTTGCAAATTTTTATCTAAACAATTGCAAGCCTCTCAAACATATGTAAGTTGCTGCTTTTGATAAACTAATGGTCAAAATTTGACAGTGAAATTAGCTTTGCAGTCTGTTGTTGCAAACCTTAGCCCTACTACTTTTAGGACCTGTATATATTTTTCTGCTAAAAAAAACTTGGTAGATTCCATGCCAAATTATATAGCTGCCATTATCCAGCTGAAGGGAGGAGTTATAAAATCTTTTTTTGGTGATTCAGGTTATAAAGCTTGTTCTTGTTGCTTCAGTTTATAAAGTTTTTATGCATTCTTCATAATTGTTAGATCCCTTTCTATGTTCTGTGTCCTTTCAGGACGTTGGCGATAATAGCTCTCCACAACTTCCTATTCATTGTAGCTCTTAGTAACATTTCTCTTTCTACCATTCTTCCCAACCTTTTGTTCTACCATCCATTTAAACAAGCTCAACAGGTAGGTGATCATTGCTTTCTCCTGTCCCTTTTGCCTTCAATATGACCTGTGAGTGTGTCTTTTTTGTTTCCATTTTCCTTAAGATTTTTTCATTGCTCAAACAATCTGTCCATGGTATTCACAGCATCCTTCTGATCTGTGGGAATGTTTTTTGTTGGAGTTTTCTACCATTGACAAAATTTGAACCCAGCTTTTATTTTCAGCAAATATTTCTAAGTGAAATGTAAATATTTACATATAGCCAAAAATAGAGTATGGCTGCCCACTCTCAATAATAATCAAAAGTGTCTCCATGTCTTTGTAGGTGATGAATTATTTTCCTTCATTATTTACATTATTCGAACTGTTATCCTCATCTTCATTGCCATATTCACAACGTGCCAGTCTTCTTCAGGTGATTAGAATTTTGAACCAAACCCTTTATTTCATCCACTGGGATAGACTGTGCTAGTTTCACATGCCATGCCTCTTCCAGATGTTTCAGTTATTTCTCTGTAACTCTCCAAGTTTTGGGTTCACCACTGCTGTAGCCAGGTATTGAACTCACAACTCTTTGGGTCTAGTCACTGGTTCTAACCAGTACCTTTATCCACTGGGTCAGTGGTGAAATAACTGAGATATCTGAAAGAGGCATGCCATGAAGAACTAGAACAATCTACCCCAGTGGATAAAATAAAGGGTTCTGTTCGAAATTCAAATCACCTGAAGAAGGCTAGAGCTTACAATAGCCAAAATGTTGTGAATATGGCAATGAAGATGAGGATAACAGTCCAAATAATGTAAATAATATAAGTAATCATAATACCTCATCTCAGAGATATAGACAGAATTCTTTTCCACCTTACAATCCCTTTCCTATAAACTTCTTGCTGCATTATTGTTATTTCGATAGAATGTATTCAGTTGAACTATATTCCTTAGTTCCACCAGATCTTTTACAGCTAAGATCCACCATGCCAGGCATATTGTAGCGAACCAACTTGATTCTCTTTGTATTCTATTGGTGAGATGTAAGTTCCACTTGAGTAACTTCTTCCCACAAACAGATGCTTTGTGGAACTGACTCACAAGAGGATGTTTTCTCAACCATTACAATCTTAACCTGTTAAAGTCTAGGGTCAGCTGTTATCTTCTGAACATATCCCCATAAACTGTGCCTCTTACTCTGTAACCCTCTACCTCGAGTAGCTCTTGGGCCTTGTATAAGATGAACATCACTATAAAAAATAAAATATAGTGATTTTGAGGTGACTCTTTTTGTAAACTTAATGGTTAATCTGCAGGCTTGAGGGCAAATCAGCTGCAAATATCTTGCTTCCAGGCTTCAGAGCTTTTTCCTCTCCTGATTAGGGAATCCATTTAGGTCGTCACTGCTCTGATTGAACTTCTTTTTTTTCCCCTTCTTGTGATAATTTTGTTTTAACTTTTCTTGAAATTGCTTTATTTCCTATTCCAATTAATTCTCAGTTTCCATCTACCATTTTAAATTTCAAATGCCTGAAAGGGATTTCCACGATAGCACTTTGGAAATGGTCCAGAGATTTAATGCCACAGCGTAAATTAAACCAAACAACTATGTCTGCCAGAAGGAAGAAATTTCAACTTAACTTCAAATAAGAAGTTGAGTAAGTTATTTCTTGAATTAAAATAAATATTTTTGTACTTAAGAAAATTTTTTAGAAGAAACTGATTGATTTACTTTTTATGGTTTATCAACCCATTTTAGGTCATTTAAAGCCAGAAATTTTTTTGAGATAATAATGGTTTAGTAATACATGTTTTACTAATTAACCCATAGCTGGGGGAGAAGAGGTTGATTCATACCTAATCAGAATTTAATAAACAAATTATAATGTGGATATAAAGTGGGGCATCCATTCTATATTACAAACAATATATTAACTGACCCCTCACTTTGTAGCCACGGTAGTTTGTAAACATTTATATTCCAGAAGGTGTAAATAAATCTAAAGGATATGCCTGTGTAGATAATCATCATTTTATTAATTGATTGATTTGTTTTCTATAAAAAGCCAGAAAATATTTTTAGATTCTAAGAATTTTTATTTTTTGGGGATAATAATGATTTAGCGATGCAAATCTTACTAATTAACACATACCTGGGGGTAGAAAAGGTGGATTCATACCTTTCCCAAGAGTATTTGCATATAAGTGAATATAATGAATCCAACTGGAACTGGAACTGGAACTTGGCTATCTGATTAACAATTCCGAGCCATTAGTTATAACACCACTCACACATCCAAGCTTACAGCACCTGGTATTACAAAGTGGTCACTCATCTAGGTACTGACCAGGCCCAACATTGCTTAACTTTCATGATCGTACAGGAACCAATGTTTCACTGTGATGTAGCTGTAAGCCTATTTTAGAAGAAATTTGTCCATGCTGTTACATCATTAGTGCAATGAAAAATATTGCTTTAGTAATTTTTAACTTCAAATGGGACTCCACTGTGATTAGAGCACACAAAATTTAAGAGTGCCCTAAATGATTTTATATGGCCTGGGTCTTATGACTACTCAGACAGTAATGTTTAAAAGTAAGATCTTCAAAGTGGCTCCTCTCACTGGATCTAACTAATGCCTTTATCCACTGTGCCATGTGTCCTTGAGGAAAGGATCCAAAGTGTGTGAGTTCAATACCTGGTTAAGGCGGTGGAGAACTTGGAGAGGTGAATTAACAGGAGATAACTGATAACTGACATCCATTAGGCATGGCACGTGGAACTAGAACAGTCTACCCCAGTGAGTGAAATAAAGGGTTCAGTTTGACATTCCAACCACCTCAAGAAGGCTGGAGCATACAACGTCTGAAATGTTGTGATAAATATAGCAACAAAGATGTGGATGATAGTCCGAGCAATGTAAATAGTATATATAATACCTCAGAAATATAGACTGATACCTTTGTGATTTATTTAAAACCAGAAAATATTTTTAGATTCTAAGAACTGTTTGAAGATAATAATGATTTACAAGACCTACTAATTAACCCATAGCTAGGAGGAGAAGAGGTGGATTCATACTTTTTCTAAAGGTATTTGTGTGTAAATGAATATAACAAACTTGACTGGAATTGAAGCTCATCTTTCCAATTTCCAAATCTGAAATGTTAGCTATTGCACCACCCACACATCCACACTTACAGCACCTGGTATTCTCAAGTGGTCATCCATCTAGGTATTGACCATGCTTGATGTTGCAATGTTTTAATGTGATATATCCATAATCCTGAGAGAGAGAGAGAGAGAGAGAGAGAGAGAGAGAGAGAGAGATCTAGTCTATGTTTACACATTACACTTTCATATCAGGATATATATATAATGTAGACAAATCATTGTGCAAATTGCCTTTCAACTTTCACTGCTTTCTCTCACAAAATAAGAGTTACATAATTTATACAAACATTTGAATTTTAACTTCTTCAGCACATTCTTGGAATGTCACTTTTTGAGATTCCTCCACTTATATAAAAATTCTGAAAGTTAAAAAAAATCTCTAATTGAGATTAGTGAAATAATATTTCCAAAATAATAAAAATTCATTTTAATTTTTACTATTTTTCTCAATGTTGTAGTTGGTAAACCTGACAATAAATTTTAGCAATTTTTCAAAAATGTTGTATGAGGCATCAACTTTTATGGCATGCCAGTGTAACAGAAGAAAGCATATGAAAGTTTGAAAGAAAGATATGTAAATCTTAGTACATGTTAAATGTCATGATCTCAAGAGAAATATGCAGACATCAAGTGCTGCGAGAACTAGCTTCTTATTTGGTGCATTTCATATTCAGCTAAGATACTAATTGCTAATAAACAGATTATTTTATTTAAAAACAGTCCTAAACAGCAAAAATAATTTAGAGCAATTGAAAAAACATTTCAAGAACTCCAAGCTTATTTAAGACAAAGCAATCAAACCCTCATTTTAAAATATAAATGAATCTCTTTGACATGTCAACTTTTGTCATCAGTAATAATCACACATTGTGCACTATTGGGACTGCAACAGTTAACAAGTACCTGAATCTTTTGTACATACTAGTATTAAATAAAAATAAGAAAAACAACTTGCCAAAATTATGTTTAAAGTATTTTCAAATATCATCAGTCACTATTTTCAGACAGAGCAATATCCTCATCTTTGTTTTCATTATTGCAGTCTTTTGGCCAGCGTACCATCCTGTCATCGTCATGTGTCTATTGATCTGGGTAATACCATATTTCAGCACCGTATGAAGCCAGTTCTACTAATGTCTATAAAAGTCAGTCGAGCCACCCACACCCATTATCTTTTTTTGCTTTTGACATTTTGTGTTTTCATCTCTTTCATCACAAGTCACCCATTGGTGCAGAAATTTCCATTAAGGTTTAAATTCACAAGCAGCTATTGTCAAATGTTTCCAAATGACCGCCCCAGAGTCTGCATGTTAATGGACGTTTCTAACCCAATGATTTGTGATGGAAAAGAGGAAAACACAAAAAATGCCAAATACAAAAGATGGCAAGTTGGCCAGGCAGACTTTTACCGACATTAGCAGAACTGGTTTCATTTGGTGCTAAAAAAACAAATCCCAAATGTACAATATTACCCAGATCGGCTTCCATCTGAAGAACGCCAATAGCTAAAATTTTGTGATCATAAAAAAAGATGATAATATTCACTCTATTTACATTGTTCAGACTATTGTCCTCATCTTTATTGTCATATTCATGACATTTTGGATGCTGTACACTTTGGCCTTTTTCAGGTGATATACATTGGATGTTCAAACAACTCTTTATTTAGTTCACTGAGGTAGACTGTTCTAGTTTCACATGCCATGCCTTTTCTGAATATCTCAGTGTCAGTTATTTCCCTTTACAAACTCAACTCTTCCAGTTTTTGTTCACCTCTGCTATGACCAGGGATTGAACTCACAAACTCTTTAGGTCAAGTCACTGCATTACTTCGACCAATGCTTTTATCCACTGGACCATGTGTCCTTGGGCATGTGGAAATAGAACAATATACCTTGATGGACGAAATAAAGAGTTTGGTTCAAAATTCGAACGTATATAACCTGAAGAAGGCCAAAGCATACAATGGCCGAAACGTTTTGATGAGGACAATAGTCTGAATAATGTAAATAGTTACAATACCTCATCTCAATCAGATAATTAGGATATTAGTTTGACAGAAAATAATAAAAGTAATGATAACTCCTCATTTAAAAAATTTAGACAGAAATCAATGTTTGTTATTTTCCAGGAAAAAAAGGTAGTAAATTAAAGGATTGCCAGGGTTTATATTGTTAAGTGGGAGAAGGAAGAAAGAAAGAACATTGGATAGAGGAAAGGTAAAGAGTAAGTAAGAAAGCTAAAGAAAAAGAAAAAAGAAAAAAACAGAAAAGTAAAGAGGAAAGATTAGAAACAAAAGAAAGACAAATGTTTGCTGTTCTGAGTTTATTACTCCTTTACCCTTTTAATATTTTAAAGTGGGTGAAGCTTTATTTTTTTCCATTGGAGAAACACACTGAGGAAATTAGTAAAAGCTATGGTATTAGAATGTAACTAGATTTGTAAATGTGTCATGTCTATTCAGGATATGGGCAGTCATGGCTTTCCACAATTTCCTGTCCTTGGTAGCTCTTAGTATAATGTCTTTTTACTATACTTCTTAATCCCTGTCATGCTAACCATTTACTCAAGCTTCCTAGGTAGGTTACATACTGTTTTCCTCTGTCCTTCTTGCATTCATTTTGTCTTGTGAGTGTTAGATTTTCTAAGTCCTCTTTCTTCATTATGCAACTTAAAAAATTTATTCCCCTTTTTATGATGCTATGTATATGTGTTTTTTGTCTCCATTTTCTCCAAAACTTCATTTTTGCTTACATGTTCAGTCAATGGTATTCTCAACATGCTTCTGTAGTGCTACATTTCTATCACTTCAAGTTTCTTCCCCATCTGTGTTGAGATTGTTCTACATTCACTGCTATATAGGAGAAGTGATATTAAACTTCTTTATTTAGAAATTGCTTATACAATACTAATAAATTTTGGTTTGGTTTGTTGAACAACATATCAATCATGCCAGGTTAATTATTGGTAAGTAGATTTTATAATTTCCATAAACAATAGGATGACACATGCTTGGTTTATATGAGAATCAAAAGTAGACATATATAAAGTATTATTTTAGCTTATACATTTAATCTCAGATGCTAAATATATAAATTAGAGACAATGAAAACTTATAGATATATGCCCTGAAATTCTGACCTTATACCATATGAAGGGATATTTGTTTGGGCACAGAATCATCCCTGAAAAAAATGTGTCTTCCCCAGTGCATAAATCAAGTAGTGAGAAAGATGAAGAATGAAGAGTTTCACAGATATTTTTGCTTTTATCCTTACAAAGAATTGCATAATTCTGCCACCTGAAAAAGATAGACAACTCTGCTATAGTCAAAAAGGTAATCATCAGTCTGGTTTACACCAGAGTCAAAAAGTGTAGACATGGGTTGGGTTTGCACAAGAGTTAAAAAAAGGATAGACATTACTCTGGTTTAAAAGACAGTCAAAAAGGTTAGACATCAATTTGATTTACACCAGAGCCAGAAAGGGTAGACAGCAGTCTGGTTTGAATCAGAGTCAAAATGGGTAGACATGGGTTTGGTTTACACAAGAGTGTAAAAGAATAGATATCAGTCTGATTTACAAGAAAGTCAAAAATGGTAGACATCAGTCTGGTTTACAAGGGAGTCAAAAAGAGTAGACATCAGTTTGGTTTACACAAGAGTCGAAATGGGTAGACATGAGTTAAAAAGCGTTCATATTGGTTTGGTATTTATGTGAATCAAAAAGGTAAACATTGTTTTAGTTTGCATGAGAGTCCGAAAGTAGACACACATTTAGTTTGCATGAGGGTCAAAAATGTAGATACAGCTACAGTAACCAAGTAATAGGGTAAAAATTCCGCTTCTGCATGTGGATGCAGTCAGCATATGCTTAACCCCAACTCAAAGGGTGAAATACTAATATGAAGCACACCCACATGCTCGCACACACACACACACATACATCCACACATATAACCAACAAATTATATAATTCGGATTTAATTTCTGCTTTCAAACAATTTGAAATCCACAACATGGATAAATATTTTAATTCTTAGAAGTAATGTGTGAAAAAAATCACCCCCCAATGCTATCATGAATGTCTTCACAAATATATTTATGTACTTTTTTTCACAGATGTTTTCAACATTATTTTCAACCCCGAAGGAGTTTGCTGCTACAAATGTTTTTCATATTCTAGTATTTGGAGAAAGCTAGAAGTATTACAAAATATACTGCAAAGATAAAA